GTTATTAATAAATGACTAAGCTTCAAACATGTTGTGATATTTAGAAATATAAAAATGTTAATATAGTGTCCATAATAATTGCTATTTTAGTTTTTCAAAGAAATGTTTATTTGTTAAAAGAAAACTCATGGCGTCAGCTGGGTTCGAACCCCCGACCTTCAGCATGCAAGGCAAACGCCTATGCCATTACACAATAGATAATAATCACAGTTGAATGAGTTAAACTGATGTGGTCATTTACAAAGAAAGTGTACTACTGTGATAATTTGAACTATATGAATATAATTATATCATTATTAATATCTTTAGATACACGATTCCATATTATATTCCCTATTAACCAAATTCTAAAAAATATGCGTGCTTTTGCTACAATAACGAGTGTAAGAAAATATTAGGTTAAAGGTTAAAATATTATAACTTTTTACGAAGTATATAAACTTAATATAGTTAGAAGGAGCACGTAAAAACTTTTCCAAAATAACCACAGTACGTAACTGAATGAAAGACTTTGATGCTTAAAATGTTTAGGAAGAAAGTGAAATACTGGTGTGTATCTTTTATTTAAACGACCAATACCAGCCATATACAGTTTACATAATATGTTTATGTTCCTAAATGAATATCGTTTATGACTCTTTTTATGCTCAGCTACAAAAATTTCCCTTTAGTTGTAAAATTCCATATAAATATTCAATATTAAGCTGAATAAAACATGCACAGTAAAGAGATTAAATGATTAAATAATTTCACTAACAACCAATGCACCACGAGTGTCCCTGTCGGTCATTTTGGCCAGACAATTACGTACTGCAGTACAACGCGGTGAACTGTGGGTAATTTCACGTGGTACAGGGTTGTACCTTGCATTTTGAATGGCTGCATCTGTACCAATAAACAGGGGGGCTTCACAGACTTCCTTCTTTGAACTCAACTGTGCTCCAGTAAATAACACACAGTTTATCACCTTCTGCAATGCTTCTACTTTAGCAGGATTTGCGAGATAAATACATTGTTTGATAGGGATGACACGTCTATATCACTGTACAACACAAATTTGAGTCGGAGTGTCTTATTAAAACAGAGTGCCTTCTAATACGTATAACTACTTTATGATTTCTTTATCCGTGTCAGCTAAATGTGGGGAATTTAATCAGTCAGAATTTTGGAGTGCCAATTGTAAAAATAACCCTTCTTCCCTCCTTTGTTTAGCTTAAAGAATTTTGTGAAGAAATACTTAATCAGAAAACCATCACTTAATTTATCCAGGTACACAAATTCATGCCAGAGCCAACAACAAGCTACAACAGTGGACTATTTTTATGCATTCACTATAAGAAACAAACCAAAAGTAATACTCTGATTGCACTTTGAACCACTGGGTGCAGTGCTTTGTCCATTACCACTTCAAGGACAATAAAAGCTTTTTTAAAAACAAACAGATGTCAAAATGTTTCCGAAATGTCCACCTGTGATATTTTAGCTGCTTAGTTACACGATTCCATATTCATATAACTATCAAATGATGTTAAATCACTACAACATTTATCTTTTTACAATAACAGCAAGTGGTGTTCTTACTTCTCTGGTTCCCTTCTCTCCAGCTTCTCTCTTCTTGACTCAGCATCCCTCTGTAAACTAGTTACATGCATGAAACCCACCACATCTAGTTTAGATCCCATTCCCACCACTTTATTTCATTCCTGTTTCTCTTCTCTCTGTCCTATTGTCCTCAGTATTATACATGAATCCATGAGCACTGGCATTGTACCAATGGTCCTCAAAACTGCTGCCATTACCCTCGTGCCAAAAAAGCCTAACATGGCTCTCGACAATCTTAACAATTTTCGCCCCATTACCAACTTACCCTTTCTTGCTAAAATTCTAGAACATGCTGTCACACTTCAGTAACATAACCACCTCATGACAAACAACCTTTTCGAACCCCTCCAATCTGGCTTCCGTCAACTTCACAACACAGAAACTGCCCTGGTCAAAGTCACTAACGATCTTCTAATATCTTCTGATTCTGGTTCTCTTTCTATACTCATCCTTCTTGATCTCAGTGCTGCTTTTGACACTGTTAACACTGTTAACACCATAACATCTTACTTTCTCATCTTGAGACTATGTTTGGAGTCTCTGACACTGCTCTCAAACGGTTCAAATCTTACCTCACTGATCGCTGTCACTTTGTCTCTTTTAATGGGTAGAGGTCTGAAATTGGTCTTCCATTGGTGTTCCTCAGGGCTCAATACTGGGCCCCTTGCTCTTCAGCATTTACATGTTCCCACTTGGGTCAGCTTTTAAGATCACATGGCCTCAGCTTTCATTTCTATGCTGATGATACTCAAATAAACATCCATACCAAACATGACATTGATGTGGCTATCTCTATTCTATCTAATTGCATCTCTGACACAAAAATTTGGATGATTCAAAACTTCCTTCATCTTAACTGCGACAAGACTGAAGTCTTGCTTATTGGGACCCCCCATCAACTTCGTAAAGCCAGTCCTGTAACCCTATCTGTAGATGGCTCTGTACTTGAGCTTCAATCAAAATTGAAAAACCTTGGAGTTATATTTGATTCTGGCTTAACATTCGACCCACATGTACAGCATACTGTCAAAACATCTTTTTTTCACCTTAGAAATATCGCTAGACTACACCCTATGCTATCATTAACTGTGGCTGAAAAGCTGATCAACACATTTGTGTTCTCTCGAATTGACTACTGTAATGCTCTACTCACAGGGGTATCTAAATCTACTCTGAACAAACTGCAGTATGTCCAAAATTCAGCAGCCAGAATCCTGACCAGGTCTAGTGCAAGTGTTCACATTACTCCTATCCTGGAGTCCTTGCACTGGCTTCTGGTCAAATTCCATGTAGACTTTAAAATCCTTATTCTCACCTATAAGGCTGTGCATGGCTTGGCACCTCAGTACCTGTCTAAACTATTATCGCCCTACTCCCCTCCTCGCAACCTTCGCTCTTCTAATTCTGCTCTTCTTACTGTCCCCCAAGCCCATCTACATTGTATGGGTGACAAGGCCTTCTCCTGTTATGCCCACAAGCTCTGGAACTCTCTCCCCAAGTTTATCAGAGAGTCACCTTCTCTAAACTCCTTCAAATCCAGACTCAAAACCCTCTTCTTCAGAAAAGCCTTTCCTTAACTGGTTCCATTCTTCACCCCTCTGCTTTTCTTAGAACCACCATCCACAGTCTCCTTTAAATATTGTAATTGTGTTTTATCTTGTGTATTCTTCTTATTTATTGTTGTTGTCATCCTGTAAAGCGCTTTGAGAAGCCACCTTTAAAGGCGCTATATAAAATAATGTTTATTATTACTATGTATTCTTAGAAAAGGATAAAACGTTATAACTTTTTATGAAGTACAGAATATAAGCTTAATAATGTTAGAACAAGCACGTTAAAACCAGAACCCATTGTAAGTTACCAAGTTAAAGACTTTGATGCATAAAATAATTAATACATAATTAAATTATTTATGATGAAGGTGGAAGGTTGTGAATTATTATAAAATATACCAACTTTTTAATGTTTAACATGCTGTAATACACTTTCAAATTATTAAAAGTCTAAACAGTATACAACTTAAATTCTTAATTGGAATAAGATTGTCCCTCAGCAGTGAGCGGGATTCAAAGCTGGGTGTTTTCTGGCAACAACTCAAATGCTGTACATAAGACATTAAGCGTTATTAGCTCCATCTGGTGGTTTCACAAGATACTACTATCCTATTTAAAGAAACGTGATTTGTTGGGGTATGTTGCGCAACGTCCACCACGTTTTAACTGGACGTACCTCGCTCATTTTGAACGGCTGGATCTGTATGGAAGGCTAGCTGTAGCTGACCTGTCGCTATAAGCAATTTATGCAGCTTCTAAATTGCTTATAAATAGCCTGTTAGTTACTTGGTTAAGCATTTTGGTATGCACCTTCTCACATGGAGTGTGTATTTTGGAAATACTCCACTGACTTGATACCTCACAGATTTCATTACACACACATCTGCTTCAGAACTGCATTATGTGCTTTGCAAATACCATTTCAGTTTTCTTTTACAAAAACGATTTGATCTTTTAACTCAAACTGTGTACAATGCTAATTATTATTAATGTCAAAGTTCAGTTCTTGCTTAAACCTTTTCTTTAACTTCTGTAGAGTTTGATCTGTGATATGCTCATTCTAAATTTAGTTAAGGTCTTTGCAAGAGAGATAAGACACCAGTTTTGTGGAGTGTTTGCAGAAAAAAGCATGTAAGACTAAATGGAAGGTGAGACTAAGCTTTGTCAGAGTGTCATGATACGTATAGTAATCTATATGTCGAACCTAAATATTAATCTGAAACACATGATGGTCCTCAATATATGCTCAATAAGAGTCTCTAAAACTGACAATTATAGTAACTCTGATAAACATTTTAAGTGTATGAGCAGCTTGCAAATGTCTAGATGCACAGCAGATATAATTTAGTCTTTGGTCTCTGAAGAGGCTATTTTTGTAATAAATTCAATTTTAAAAATTCTTTAATCTTTGCTGTGACTTCCTACACCCCTACACTTTAAATTACCAGCGTTGCAAAAATCATTACACCAACTGATTGAAAATGTGCAGGTTTGTTTATATCACTAACCGCTGATATCACTAGTTATCTTCTACAAAAGGGATGTCCACATTTGCTATGCACTTATTATTTTATCTTAAGCTTTTTATATGTTTTATGGCACAACAAACATTGGTAAGCTAAGAAGAGATGTATATGAAAGAATGCTAAGAAAAAATTATATAGGCTCTTGCATGTAAAAGTTCTCCTTGTCATATTCATTAACAGCTTTTCACGATTATATGCACTGTGTTCTGAATATAATACACTTTAAAGATCAGCTGGGAGTCATAATTCCTTTAAATGAACAAACTAATTCAAATATCGGTTTGAAAAATACACCTAAAAGCTACCAGACAAGTCTCACCTTCAAAATACAATAGTTGCCATTTTTCTTCTTGGCTAAAATTTTCAACGCCTCTTCTTCATAATCAGGAGCAATAATCCCATCAGAAACCTACAAATGGCATTCAGAAATCACAATAAGACATTTTGCAATTAAATCCTTTGGCTTAGGAATTTGGGAAAGTTCAAACTAGAAGAGAAAATTAATAATTTTACACTTATTCATATGAATAGAAAACAGTTTAATTTTTTGAAAGCCAGCAATCAGATCTACCATACCATTAAAATGAAAGTGTGTCAAAAGAGCATCTTACCATTTAAATGGACTGCAAAATAATTTAATTAAAAGTCCTTACATGTGGAGCTGCTAGAATCACAATTAAAAAGCTTCCGAAGCAGGAAACATATTTGAAAGCACCAAATCAGTTTTTAGTCTAACCCCTTAGATTTAATTCAAAAAGAAACTGATTTTTCTCTTAAACTTGCCTCTCTGGAGATGAGTTTTGCAGTGGGAACATCACAGCTGTCAGACAAGGCAATAAAATCTCCAAAGGAAGACATTCTGTCAGAGCCTAGACATAAAATAGAACGCTCTTGAGGTAATTTTTTGGAAAGATACAAATACAAAGTTTACTAAATATGCTCTACATAGTAACATATTAAAAGTAAATTTAAACTATACAAATCAATTACTCTGACTTCAGTATTGGTTGCAAACATTATTATGCAAAGTCAGCTTCTCATATTTTACCTTTATAAGTACATATTTAGTTTTCTGATTTGCCTCTCAGTTCCTTTGATCATCCAGTAAACACATTTTTAACAATAAAGTAATTACCATACCAACATTCACAAATTATTGTATTCTGCTAACCATACAAATGTTCAAGAACAACTGTTGTATGTCTTGAGTTTTTTCCATTGTTGAGATTTACTTTACAACAAAGCTTGTGACCAACCAGCAATGCTGCTTTGCCAGAACTTTAAAGAGCTACAGGAAATTGTCAGAAAGTATTGTTCCAACAACACAGAAAATTTGTAGCTGTATGGTCTATAACATTATTCTATATTAAGTAAAAACTTTAAAATAAAGGGAGCCACTAAAACACCCCTTTGCATTTAACAAATTTGTATAATTTTAGGAAAGACATAAGAATGGAAGGAGATTTTCTAATTAAGTGGTTCAAGCATTTAATGTTTATAAATTATAAATCTTTATAAATCTCATTAAATGAGATATTGTAATGAAATTACCTCTAGCTCTTGCATATGCAGTAGCCAGGGGTGTCAGATCCTTGTACACATCATATGCCATACAGACTTTAGCATCCTCCTCACTCAATGGCACTCCAATAGCAGCACCTAGTGGACAAAATGCAACATTAGTGTGGCTACAAAAGTGTAAAAAATGCACAACAGTCGGATACAATAAGTAAAAACAGAATTACACTAAAATGCTTAATAAAGATATTGAGGTATAAAACTAAAATGAAAAATATGGGACAGTATTCAAGTGCTTTTGGAAATGTGCTCAGATACTTACCTGAACATACTGCAATTCTGCAAGGATCTTGTTTAATGCTACTAATATCTTTATAGTGTTTTTTTAAAGAACACAGTCACTTGGAATAAGAACACCCAATTAGAAAATGCATTATAAATGTTTATTGAAAGGAAGGATACAAAAAAACCTGAGGGGGACAAGGGGATACTTATTTTAATTGAACATCTTTACAGGTATAAGTAGGTAGAGTAAATATGACAATGACAAACTGTTTCTTTTGGCACTGAATACTTGAGTGTGACCTTTAATTGGTAAGGGTAGTAATGCATTAGTAGTACCTACAATAGGGAAGATTAAAGGAACATGCCAATACTTAATAAAGTATGAAATAATATACATGGGGGTGCTGTTTAATGTAGTCTTGTGTTTTTCACACTGATATCGGCAATAAACTGAGGTACACCCCAAATGGTGATGTTAAAACTCCCCCGACTAATGTCGTCAACATAGTTCTCGTCCAGAATGACAGAAGTTTGTCCAGAAGTTTGAATTTTGCACCACACACCCCTATCTTAACTTTGACACTTACGACAAGGGTTTTTCAATTCCTATCATCTTAGCATTTAACTTGAAGTACCTTTACAATCTCTAAAATGCATGGAAAAAGAACTGCAGGAAATCAAGAAAAACTGTCTTAGTATTGGCACTGATATAAAATTAGATGTGATAATGTGAATTTGAACACTGAGTTCTTAAAGGTATAATTGTTTGTTTTAAAATCCTTATATTGTATGTTTAATATGAAAATTAAAACGATTAAGAGAATACTATTATTGTAATAGACTTTATTAAATGGTCTCTTTACTGTTCAAGGGATAAGTGACTATTCTTATGAAAACAATTTAATAATTATGATTAATTTCCTTGTTAAAGTCTCCTCATCCTGCTGTGGGGGTGTTTCTTCAGCTGGGACTGGGGCACTTGTCGGCATAGAAGGGAAGATGGATGGTGCAAAATACAGGCAAATTCTTGAAGAAAACCTTCAGCCCTCAGCCAGGAAGTTGAAAATTGGAAGATGGTTCACGTTTCAGCATGATAATGACCTGGAGCAACCGTACAGTCCCTGAAGGACAGGAAGGTGAATATACTCGAGTGGCCTAGTCAGAGCCCCGACCTTAATCCCACTGAAAATCTTTGGAATGACTTGAAGAGGGCCATCAATGGTCACCACACAGTTTGACTGAGCCTGATCAATTCTGTGAGGATGAATGGGCAAATATTCCTCCCACTAGGTGTGCAAAGTTGGTAGAAATGTATCCAAACAGACTGAATGTTCTCCCTTTGGAAAATATGGCTCTCACTGTGGTTCAGTGGAGTCCCAGAGCCTTAGAAATGTAACCCTTTCCAGAATGATAGATATCAAATCTGATCATGTCCCTCTGGTTCCCTTTAAAGGAAACTGAATTAATGAAATGTTCCACAATGCAGCTAGAGTTTATTTTTTGCATGCTGAATTGCTGGAATTCATGCATGATATACATCATGAAAACAAATTAATAGAAGCAGTGTTTGAGGATTTGATTGTAGGTCAATTTATTGCAGGATGCAGAGCACTGGGAATTATTTGTAAATTAGTGACAGAGCCTTTGTAGAAAGCTCTGGGGTAAAAAGAGCATGTTTTAGAAATGAATGCAGTGTGCAAACTGAAAGAATGGCAGGCTGATAGCAGTAAGTTAGTCAGAGGTGAGGTACGCTTGTTTACCAACATAAAGGTTCATTCTGGACCTGTTCTGCAGAAGCTCACAGAACAGAGGAGCCCTGAATTTGAGGAGATGACTATACAGGCTGTGGAACCGATCCTTGCTAGTTTTGTAAAGGTGTGTTGTAGTATGGTAGAAGATCATTTAGAATATGTCAGGTATGATGAGGTTTCAGAGGAGATGTATAAAAAACTTGAATCGGCAACTAAGGTGAATGTACGCTGTGAGAGGGATTTTGGAATCTTTGGCAATTAACTTAAAGTTAAGGACAGAGCAACAGCTGTTGAGGGTATGATTATGTTCAAGGAGAACAGGTCTTGGCAGTGGACTGAAAAACTAGATTCTGAAAAAAAGGCAGAAGTTTTATCTCAACCTAGAGCATCAGTTAAAGAGCAGAGGGCTGTGTTTTGTGAGAGGATGGCTAAGATAAGAGATGACAGGTTGCAGACACTTAGAAGAAGAAAAAAAGACAGAAAAGGAAACGAGATATAAGGACAAAAGAAGTACTAGCGGTAGAGACAGTATGGGGGACTTTGGAACAGCGAGGAAGAAATAGACGAGCAAAACCGGATACTAAACAAAGAGAAGTCAGATGTTAACTCTGTCGGAAAACCATTTCTGCGTCCAAGAGTAATACGAGCACCTTGTTTCATCACTTGAAACACAACCATGTCGTGGAATACGAAGAGTGCATGGCTCAAAAAAAGAGAGAAACTGACAAACGCACTCATGGCTGAAGTGATTCCCCCAAACAGCTGTCTCTAACATAAACATTTACTAACGCCACTCAATATGCAAAAGATTTACGCAGATGTAATGAGACAACTAATGCCATTACATATTGCATAGCAAAGGACATGGTTCCTATAGCTACAGTAGAGTATAGCGGTTTCAAAAGACTCGTTAAGCCCATGACAAGAGATACATTGTGTCTTCAAGAAAATATTTTTTCTCACACTGTGGTGCTGTGGTGCCTGACATTTACCAAGTTTAATAGTTTCGCATATTTAAAATGTGATCTTTCAGCATATCATGTAATATTATAATTTCAATGGGTCTCAGAAAAATTATTGTTAATTTATCGTTATTGAGGTAAATGTGGGAAATTATTGCGATATTGATTTGAGGTCATATCACCCAGCCCTAATTACAGATGTGTAAAAAAACAAACTAACATTTCAAGCTAGAGGAAATTTATAGCAGGGTAATCGTTAAACAACAATACAGCAAAGATACACCTGAAGAAGGCTCCAAGGCCGAAATGCTGTGTTTTCTTTCTTCTCCTTTCAGCATGGAATAAACCTATTGTTCCTTTGCAGCCTACCCATGCTGAAGCAGCTACCCACCTGAACTGGATCTGTAGATGACTAGCTGCTAAATTCACTCAAGTAAAAGTTGAAACTATAGTCCCCATACAATCTCTATAAGCAAATTAAAGGGATACAGATTATCTACAATTGAAAGGGTAGGATATTGACAAATAACCCCCTCCATCCACTTAGCTAATAGGGAGGTGAATATCACTGATCAAAAGTCACTTAGTGCTTTGACCATAGACTTTTAGGTACAGGTATAACAGTTGAAACTGTATTTGCTAAAATACAAGAATCAAGTATTGCCGGATTAACCAAGTTGGAATTTTCCCTAAATTGAACATACACCTTAAGCACCTTTCCCCACATATCGGCACATTAATTGATTGGAATTTCCTAAATTATCTCATTATATTTATTTCTTAAATTAACAATGCTGAATCTTCCACACAAATAATTAACATCATTCACAAAGGATGAGCAAAGCACAATTCCTCTTCTGTTTTCCCACCTCTGCCCATACAGTAATTACATTATGCCCCTTCCACACTTGCTTAGGATTGTCTACACAGAACCTATTGTCAATCCTGTCTTTAAAATCCCTCTTAGCCTTCCTTATTTTTTACTTAATCTTTCTCCCAAACAACAGCAGTTTCCCAACTTAAAAAGAGACTTTTCACCCATTTAAACATATTTAAATCCTTACACAACCAAGGTTTTTATAGGCAAATAGTTTGAAAGTTGTAGAAGTAATGACAGTGCTTTCACAGAACTGTATGCTGTTATACAGTGTCAACTCATGCAAATCCTTCCACGTGTCAAAAAACACCTGACAGTTTAAAGTTTCAAAATAGTAAATAAGATCCTCCTTACTCTCCTTACTCTCTATTAATCTATAAATCTGTGGATATTATAGTATAGGCTTCTCATGTTCCATGCACTACCTAAATGCAAGGAGGGAAAGGAACAACATGGTATGATTTCAGTGGTATGCACACTGCCTTGTATGCATCTTCAAGATTTCCATAACACTGAACTAAAATATGTAGTACTCATATGAGTAGGGCAGGTAATATTGCTGCAAGGTAGGAAGATACGCCAAAAGTCCCTAACCACAAAAACAGGCTGGTCAGCTGATCGTGAAAGCACATAATTAAAACTGGTAGCAATCCTTTCCTCAGCCTCCTTGTTTGGTTCAGCAACATAAACTAATATAATAGTTATCTGTTCAAACCCAGGAGGTAAATGAAATGGCCCAAACAGGACAGAAATAATCTAATAGTCCTTAGTACATAACTACTCCCAATACATTTAAATGGATAGCCTAGGTGTTATGGACATAGATACAAAGACCCCCGCCGATGGGCTTCTGTGATGCTGTTTGTCTTGATCTGCTCTAATAACAGTACATATTACTGTTGATCTGATGGAGCCATGTATTAGGGAAGCAAATATGACTACTTTGCCTGACGTCTTCCTGAAACTTGACTCTTGCCACTATTTTATCTATCTTGTTAAGAGACCAGACATTTGACAGAAATTACCAAATTAACACCACCTCTAGCACCTGGCTTCTTGAACTTATTCCTCCATTTTCCCTTTATTAAAAATAAATGTTGACAATACTGAATGCCTTGTCATGGAGCAGAAGCAGGAATTCTAGTAGGTAGTAGTGGTAGTAGGAATATCTCAGTACTCGCTGACACCATAGACAGATAATTCCAAAGATTTTATAAAATCAAAAACACTCTGCAGTGTTCCACTTTCATACTTATTGGATATAAAATTCAAACAATTTAACTCAAATAAATAGCAGACATGGGTGAGTACAGGAGTTCTTAATCGTAAGGATTTATTAGGGCAAGAGGTGATGGGCAAGGTAATTTTGTACTTTGTGAGTAAGTGGAAAATTTTTTAATTGTTGTTGATGCTGGAACAGGCATAAAAAGAATGTAAGGGGAGTCAGAGAAACTAGTCTGACCAGTTTTTAGGATTTTCATGTGAGTCTACATTTTGGATATGAAGGAAGGTTTCAATATTGTACACACAAATTTATCACTTACCATTCCCCACATTGTACCTCCCTTTCTTCTCAAATTAGAAAAGTTTATAGGTCTCTCTCGTTAACTGCTTTAGACTTCAAACATTTCAGCTAGCTTGTTTATTAATAGCAATACAATATGTTTATCTAATGCTAGAAGAAAATAATCATATGAAGCACTGGTCCTCAATGGTTGGACCTAAGGACCAAACACATAATCCCAGGACGGGATATTACCTGCTGGGCTGACATGCTTGAAAGATGTAGCTGCAGGGAGTCCCAGGGCTTCCTTCAGTTCTCTCACCAGTTGCCAGGCATTCAGGGCATCACAGAGATTGATAAAACCAGGAGACCCATTCAGAACTGCAAACAAAGAATACACAAGTGAGAAAAATATTAAATGCTACAACATAACATAAACTAAGATTTACAGACCTAGATACAATCATTAGGAAATCAGTATTTCCCCACATACCTACAAGTCTTAATGGGAAACCTTTGGGAAATAGTTTCTATTACTTTCCCACTAAGGAGAAATCCTTAAGAAAAATGTCTAAGTTAATATATATGAATCAGTCCTCCATATGACTCCTTGGTATGATAAGGAATGTGAATAATCAAGTAATAAGAGTTTGTCATGTAGGAATGTTAAGTAAGCATGGTTTCTCTCATGCCTGGGAAAGGAAATCCCCTGGACCCGAGACAGAACGGAGGGGATAGTAAATTTAGCAAGGCAAGAAAGTCACTTCAAAAGGACTGGATTCTTTAAGAGGGTTCTGGTTTAAGAAAACAGACTAATGTACCTTACAATCACCAAAATATACCAATATCAATACAAACCACAATGAGAGAAAAGCACTGTTGGAAATCAAGATACCAGGGAATATCCAAGTGAATATTCACAAGTATCTCTTTTTTGGTCTTAAATGAAATGGCTATTTACATTACAACAGAATAATGTAAGAGCTTGGTTGCTACAAGTAATGGTAAAGGATCTGGAATTTAATTAAGAAATTTGAAATGTGAGCAACATTCATTGAGTATAAGTTGGAAAGCCAAGTATACTCTGGTGGCAAAAATAAAGGTAACATTCCTTTCCTTGCACAATGAAACTGAATTTATAATCAAGACACTATTCTTTGCTTAATTGCTAAACATTAAACAGCACATCACTGCATCAGTTACTTAATTCTCTACAAAATGGTAAGCTCACTAAAATTGATTAAATATGACATTTATCGAGCAGTTGGTATAATTAGAGGCATGTGATTCTTTGTTTTGTGAAAAGAGCAATAATCCAGGCACACTTGGTTAAAAAAGTGTTTATTAACAAAGACTAGACAAACCCTATGCTATAGACAACACAAGTCACTCTAGGTATACAGTTTTTACAAACTAGACATTTCAGAGGCCTAACAAAAAACCCCAGACTTCTAGTTAGAATTAAACTCTTAACGCCTACAGAAAGGCCAAATTAGAAATAAGATGCTTTTCTAAATAAATGCAATACAACCTGCAGTTAAATCTTTCTCTCTGCATCCCCAATGCCACAAAATAAATGGGATCCCATCTCCCTATTCTAAAAATGCACCCTAAGCAGAAAGATGTCACTAACCAAGGTATCTTTTTTTACCCTGGAAACCCAAGTTACCTAAAAACAGAATAGCAAGCTCTCCCTAGCAAGGTTCAGATGCCTGCTCCTGTCAGGTTTCGTTTGGAAGATCATGAAGCAGAAGCTTGCACGAGGTGAAAGCCCCAAGTTCCAACTCCTCTCTTGTGGTCTTACCTTTCTTTCCTCTCTCCTTCTGTCCTTCTCGTTCTTTTCCTGTTGTTTCTCTGTGGTCTTACTGTGATCTTATATGATGTTTCTATACTGATTATTGACAGTCATTAACTCTTGACTTAATTACCTAGGTATACCAAGGCAAACTTTACAATTGTTTTTGATCTGGTAATCCCCCACATCTCAGCAAACATCACCTCTGCTTTCAAGCTGGAAGTGTTTACTCTGCCATGTGTCACAAACTATCTAAAAGCTAAGAGACACTTCCTAGCCACCTACAGATGCAGCCATTCAAAATGCACGATAAAAACCCGCGGTACAGTAACCTACCCACAAGCCACCGGAGGGCACCGTGGTAAGTGATTGGCTGGCCAAAATGACCGACAGGGGCACTCGTGGTGCATTGGTTGGTAGTGCAAAGATTTAATCATTTAA